TGAAAAAGGATTGGGCGACTATTTGGATATTTGTTTAATAATTATTCATTTATTTGCTACTTGGATTGATTCAGGCACTGTAAGTTTAATTGGATAGCACCTCTCAACAACACAATTCAAAGTGTTTAAAATGCAACACAAAAAGACTTTAAAGGAGTATTTTGACATTTTTGGATACATGCTAATTTGCCCTTCTAGCTTTGAAAATACCTCCAGTTATCACTCAATAAGACCCTGAGCAAGTCTTTGCTGTGTGAAGTGAGTGATTCAGAGGTCTGAAACAAGCGGTGACTGTTGACGAGTGTCGGCATGAGAAGCTGTGACTCATGTCTCCCCTGGGTGCTGTGCAGGACACTGTGGTCAGAGAGACACTCTCTATATACAGCTAATGCCTATTGATTTCCCTCTCTCACACACACACACACACACACACACACACACACACACACACACACACACACACACACACACACAACACACACACACACACACACACACACACACACACACACACACACACCACACACACACACACACACACACACACACACACACACACACACACACAGGTTTTCATTAGCTAGACTGGAGTCAAACACGATTAAGACTTGAGAATCAAAATGAACTGCACTCAACACCATGTGGATCAGTTGTGTCATAATTACTCATGCAGAAAAACATGTTATAATTAATGGTAAACACTACACATTAATAGGTTTAGCATTCGGTCTTATTAATAGATTACTCAAGTGGGGATTTCTGGCTCAGAGTATGAAAAAATTGCATTTTTAAGGTATATATTTTTAAATACCTAACTAATACATATCTACATAAAGCTTCCCCAGTTGAATAAGCCTACTAACAATTACATCATTTTTGAAATTAATTATAAAGTGTCTAAAAGGCAAATAAGGCATTATTTACTGCTTTTGGTCAAATTAGGAGAATTCTAAAGACCCAAATAAACATAAAGTTAGTAAAAATAATACTAGTAATGTGCATTTTGGATGTTTTCTTTCCTCTAGTCCGGAAGAAAGTTATACAATAGCCCCAATTGCATGTTACAATGCCTGTGGTGTCATACCTAACAATCAGGAGACATTAAAACATGGTCTCACCCATGCTGCTGTGTACCTGCAGGCGGGCTGGTTAACCACCCTGCTGATTTGTGAATCTCTGTATGACCCAGGCTTGTGGCTCGCCTTTGGCCGACCACTTGTCTCTGCTAATATACAAAGAAAATAATGAGGTTGTGCTTACTCTTCTTCTCTGTAGGGGATAATTGCTTCTTGTGAGTAAAAGGCTTGTTGCATTAGTCTCTGTGGAGAGGCCTCTTCAGTCCGCTCGCCTATTATTAATGAAGTGGCTTTCACTGTTCTCTTTCTAAAGCAATCTCCAATCCAATTGACTGGACTGATATATACATTATTTACGTCTGTTTGTGAGTATGTTACATTTTTGTTGTACTACATTCTGTCAGATATATTTATGACCTCCAATTCTCAAGTTAAATACACAGACATTATGAAGTTGACCCAATGTTACTTTTGATTAATAGTTTGCATCTTGTTTGTTGCAGTTTGAAGGAATACTGATGCATGTTATTTCTTATTCTTCATTTGATCCTTTACTTGACATTGGTTAGTTCAAGTTAGATTATATGACCCCACTCATGGCTATGAAAAATACCCACCCCACAACAAATAGACCTGTGACACCAGTACTGTTTGTAATACAGTCATATCTCTTAAATGCGTACTTAAGGTTAATTTACTTGCATGAAGGAATGAGATGCAGACATTCAGCACTCCCAAATGTCAGGCGGCGTATTAACATCTTCCCTCTTTGACCCTTTGAACCCGAGCCTTGCATTCCACCGTCTGGTTTACAGCTCACGGGACGCCGGGTCACTCCCGATGTTTCACTTTTTTTCTACAGCATTGCAGACAGTCAGATGATTATTTACAACCGCATTGTCATGTCAAAGGTCAGATGAGACTGAGATCGGTTTCAGGGGCTGCACCTCAGACTGACTGTGAACAACTACACCGACAAGTCATCGTGAAGGATAGTGCTTTCAGGAACAGCAAATGTTTGGATGTTTGAGGCTCATCATTTTTGTTTTTCAGCCTAAAATAATGGCACAACCAAGGTGTTTCTCTTCTTTGCCTTTGCAGTATGAATATCCTTTGTGTAAATTCAGTCATTAGAATCAGTATTTCCAGCAAAAACAACCTGAGCATTCTGCCTGGTCCTCCATTGTTCCCCTTTATCTGCTGTTTTAACCCCTGAGGCCAGTTGGCTACTCTCTGTCCCAATGCACCACCCTCCCATCCCCCTCAGTCTGAAGTCATCATCATTTCCCCTCTCTGCTAATGCTGGCTGAATTGATTTTTGTAGGACAACACATAAGTTAGCCTCTCAAGGACTCCTAATAAATTAACCATTGTATTTAGGATAATGCAAGAATAAGATATTTGGCACACACACGTTTACTATACTAGTCTAAAGTAAAAAGCTAACGTAAGGTTTTTCTTACCACTGCTACGCTGACGACACCCAATTAATTCTGTCCTTTCCCCGCTCAGAGACCCAGGTCGTCGCACGCATCTCGGCTTGTCTAGCTGACATCTATCAGTGGATGTCTGCTCACCACCTCAAGCTCAACCTTGACAAGACTGAGCTGCTCTTCCTTCCGGGAAAAGATTGTCCCACTCTTGACCTAACAATCAACATCGGCATCTCTGTTGTTTCCCCGACTCAGACTGCAAGGAAACTGGGTGTGACCCTAGATAACAACCTGTCCTTCACTGCAAACATAGCTGCTACAAACCCACTGCTGCAGATACACGCTTTACAACATCAGGAGGATACGTCCCCAGCTGACTCAGAAAACAACGCAGGTTCTGGTCCAGGCTCTCGTCATCTCACGCCTAGACTACTGCAACTCCCTCCTGGCTGGTCTACCTGCATGTGCCATCCGACCTCTGCAGCTCACCCAGAATGCAGCGGTTCGTCTGGTCTTCAACCTTCCTAAATTTCCCACACCACTCCGCTCCCTCCACTGGCTTCCGGTAACTGCTAGAATCCACTTCAAGACACTGGTACTTGCTTACCATGCTGCGAATGGATCTGGCCCTTCCTACATCCAGGACATGGTTAAACCGTACACCCCAGCGCGTGCACTACGCTCTGCATCAGCCAAACGACTCGCTGCACCCTCGCTGCGAGGGGGACCCAAGTTCCCATCGGCGAAAACACGTGGGTTTGCTATCCTGGCTCCAAGATGGTGGAATGAACTCCCCATTGACATCAGGACAGCAGATAGCTTGCACATCTTCCGGCGCAGACTGAAAACTCATCTCTTTCGACTCCACTTCGAGCGATAGAATTATTAACAAAGCACTTATATACTAATAAAGGACTGGCTTATCTAAAGCCAGTTGAGTAGCACTTGAAATGTTTGGCTCTATGAAACCTGATGTACTTATATGATTCTGTTTTCTTCAAGGTTGTGTCTTCCTGGTCGAATGTACTTATTGTAAGTCGCTTTGGATAAAAGCGTCAGCTACATGCAATGCAATGTAATGTAAGGCTGTAAGCAAACTGCATCGTGGTCACATGACTTTGCGCCATCTTTGCTAAGCTAAAGGTGGCTATCTTTCAATTACGTTACGTCGTCTCATTTAGCTACACGTTACCAACCGCTGTTTTTGTGAGACAAATAAGGTCCAGACGGTTCAGACATACATCAGTGGGGTATTTACTATTTACAAGATGTATTTTATATCGTAGAACAAAACATGAAAATCACTTGTGTTAACCACAGACCTGCAGGCATTTAGAAGGAAACATGGGACTTGAAAACCTGAAGTGGTACAATTCGAACTCATTTCAGGGTTTAGGACTCTTTCCTACACACATTTTACTACAGTGGTAATACATTTCAGTAACAGTGTCTATGGTTCATTATCAGTCCCTTGTTCCCTTGCAGCGGCTCACATAGCCGCGTTAGCTCTTGTTATGACTGCAGTGTAAAGAGCTGTTATCTTTCTTGTTCTCGGGCCTCTGCTGACCTTCACTATCTGCGGATGCAGTCAGACCCAGACGTCAGCGTAAAGCTCAGTTGGCAGCTCGCTCTGTTTACTTTTCCCACTTCCTATCTATTCCTTTCTTTCTCACGTGCTTGGAAATAACCTCCCATGTCTTTTTTGTTGAGCTGACGTCAGAAGTAAAAAAAACAATCCACTGCACGAGCCCCAGGTATTGGAACATGTTTCCCATTCTAATTCACTCGAGTGAGAAAAAGCTCAGATAGGAGCTTTAATATTTTTCTATCATCTGATGCCGTCTCTCACATTTTCCCCTGGAGCAGAGTAGCTGTACTGGGCCCACTCTGCCATTGTGGATTTGTTATTGTGCATTTGCTAGACCTGCTGAAGTCACTGGGTGCATCTGAATCCCCTTCAATGTGCCTTTCACTGAAGACACATCTGTGAATCGAGGAAAACACCTCTTAATAAAATCATCTGAAGGATGACTGGTTTTTATGCTGCTGTTGCGAATGGATCAGTAGATCGCACATGATAAACAGAATGTGAAATATTAGTGTGCATGATCCCACACATGCATTAAAACCATGTATTCACTATACTGTAGAAACATCTGTTAAACTGCTTTGTTAATGGACTGCTCACTCACATGCACACGAGACAACGCTTTTTACAATTATGTGCACCTTTTCATGTGTTCAAGTTACAATTAGAATGCCTCACAATCTGTAGAAAAGAATGTATTTGCCTAAATAATCGATTTAAGTTATGTAAATATCCCTGAATCATAGTGGCCTTTACCTTCTCAAGTGAATACAAAAGGATGATGGAAAGGGACTATATTATTATGAAAACAAAAATAGGTCCTTTTTTGGTCTCATCTCATTATTTGAAGCTAGTAAAAGTGAGGCATGATTTAAAAAAAAAAGTTATTTCATTTATTTCCAGGATGACAACTGGGGCGAGACCACCACGGCGGTCACGGGCACCTCGGAGCACAGCCTGTCCCAGGAGGACATTGTGCGGATCACCAAGGACCTGGAGGACAGCGTGGGGCTGGACTGCCGGCGGTACTTCACCCTGACGCTGGCCGTGGTCATGGGCCTGCTGGTGTTCCTGACGCCCGTGGCCTTCCTGGTGCTGCCCCACCTGCTGTGGCCGGAGAAGCTGCAGAGCTGCGGCACGGCCTGCGAGGGCCTCTTCATCTCCGTGGCCTTCAAGCTGCTCATCCTGCTGCTGGCCGTCTGGGCGCTCTTCTTCAGGTCGCCAAGGGCCGGCCTCCCGCGGGTCTTTGTGTTCCGGGCGCTGCTCGCCGTGCTGGTGCTGCTCTTTGTGATGTCATACTGGCTGTTTTATGGAGTCAGGATACTGGACACACAGGTGAGGGGAAAGAAGGAAACGCAGGCATCAATAATAATCTCTGTCATTGCTTGTAAGTAAGCAGAATCACAATATTGTTTTATCTCAGGGGTGATAAGGTTCTGTTACAGTTGCTTCATTTTTAAATAAAATAATAAATATATTATACAAGAATTTACATAAGATGTTTAAGTCTAAGAACCAAGTATTTCCCATAGCTGTATGCACACACATGAACTTGTAATGCCTTTAGAAGATCAACAAACAACCAAAAGAGACATTTGGTTTCCCAGTGCTGTGTTTTTTATGTTTGAGTCATATCATTTAAACTCCCTGTTGGTCCCTCATTCAGAATGCATGTAGGAAAACACTAAAAAGCTTGCTTTGAAATGCATCTACATATTCATATGCTCTACATCTTGTCTCACATTTGTATGATCTCATTTAATATCCCTGCAGGAGTACTTTGTGTTTGGAAACATGTTTAAATGTAGTCTGAAAGTGTTCTGTATTGTGTGTACTGTGCAGACATGTCATTAAGAGGCACATTATTGTTTTCAGGACGACAACTACCAGGGCATCGTGCAGTACGCGGTGTCTCTGGTGGACGCTCTGCTCTTCATCCACTACCTAGCCATCGTGCTGCTGGAGCTGCGGCAGCTGCAGCCGTGCTTCTCCGTCTGCGTCATGCGCTCCACCGACGGGGAGAAGAGGCACTACAACCTGGGCCAGCTGAGGTGAGGAGCTCACAGGGGCCGGTGTCCTCTGAGAGGAATCACATCTGCTCAGGGATTTGTGTTGTCAGAGTTATGCATTATCCAAAGGCTGCATCACTCCCTGAAAGACAGCTGGGTCTTATAGCATACGTAACACTACATTTCATAGGAACTATTTACAGAGGCGGATTCATACTTCTGGTGCTACAGTATAGTCAGTGTCATAGTTTTTACTCTTTGACTTTTGAATTGTTGTCTTATGATTATGACTTCTTATTTTATTTGAACTATTTGTCTGCTAGATTTAACTTTTGTCTCATATTTTGGATATTTTTGTGTGGCTTTTGTACTATTATTTTGACTTTGGTCTCATTATCGCAACTATTTGTTTAATAGGATTACATTTTTATCTCATAGTTTTAGATTTTTGTTTTCGAATTGTCTTTTTCTTAGAATATCTTTACTTTTTGTCTCACAACATTTACTCTTTTGCGACTTTGTGTGGGCAAACAGTGTAAAACTGTATCAGTAGTTTACTTTGTAATATATGCTGATCAGGTGCACATGCAACTCTTACATTTGTAACTGTTACTAATGACTGTAGAGTATAATACTCACACAGGCATTCATGTATTCTGGAAGCATTGAGAGCAAGATGGCCAGATGACCTCTGTGCGTGTGGAGATTACAGACAGAAGTAGTAAGAGGACAGAAGGTAAAGAGAGCTAAACTCATGTGAGCGACAGGGGGAATGACGAGGAGAACGTGGGGGGATGATAGAGAGGGAAAGGAGGACATGGGGGCGAGATGAAGGCAGAAGGAAAGATGGAAACTGGGACACCAAGCGAGAGAGGAGGGAAGGAAAACGCTAGTGACACACTCTGAAGTAAAAGAGTAGAAAGGGATATAAAATGTTTAGCCAGAAATGGGAGAAAATGCAAAGACAAGAAGGCGTGCAGACACAGTGCCAGGAGAAAAAGGAGAGGGTGGGGGGGACTTCAGAGGGAACTCCTAAAAAAGAGCTGCAGACGCAGGGCGGAGTACAGAGGAAAGACCCAGGAGACGGAGGCAGCGAGAGACAGGAGAGAGAATGCTGGATTCATTATTAATAGGAGGGTAGTGTCAAAGAAACCAATGTGGGAATGAAAGAAAGGAGAGGTGTGTGTGCATGTGTACATGTGTGTGTTTAGGAGAGAACAGCTCTGACTAGACCCACCAGGCTTTTATGACCTTACTGTCAGAAAGAACCGGAAGATCTCATGTTTAGTATCAATATGCAGCACCGAGTGTCCAACACACGCCTGCTAAACGACAACTACTAAAACATGATGGATATCTACTCTTACATGTATGTGTTTTTTCCCCGTAGTGGACTGGTTAATAATTGATGTGCCTTTGTTTATGTCAGGATGTCTGCTGGTAGCTAAAATCCATGTGTGCCTTTTTTTTTGACAATGCATTTTTCAGATAACCCAATATGAGTATCTAGTTCGAGATGTAAAATGTCTTCTCAACACACAAAGCAACCTTTAATTGTAATATTATTAAGTTGACGATTGTAATTTAGAATTCACCCTAAAAGAGTATAATGTTAGAAGGTCATCTAGTATCACGTCTTTCTCTTTGGACTATTGATATTTCCAATCTGTCATTTATAATTAATAATCAAATGTGCTTGCGCTGAACCTTTAACCTGTGTGTGTGTGTGTGTGTGTGTGTGTGTGTGTGTGTGTGTGTGTGTGTGTGTGTGTGTGTGTGTGTGTGTGTGTGTGTGTGTGTGTGTGTGTGTGTGTGTGTGTGTGTGTGTGTGTGTGTGTGTGTGTGTGTGTGTGTGTGTGTGTGTGTGGTGTGTGTGTGTGTGTGTGTGTGTGTGTGTGTGTGTGTGTGTGTGTGTGTGTGTGTGTTGTGTGTGTGTGTGTGTTGTGTGTGTGTGTGTGTGTGTGTGTGTGTGTGTGTGTGAAGGCCTGGTTGGTGCGTTAGCCTTGGGGCTGTTGTCCTTTGTAAGCTGTGCCATTCAGGGTGCTTGGCCGCCGCAGCAGGCTGTAAACTCAGGGCTAATGAGAGCTCCCATCTGGTCAGCCTGACACACATGCATGGACACAACCTAGCATAAACATGTGTGTTTGCATGCGTAATTGCATCATATACATGCAAATGAGTCATGAACAATGCATCATAGAGAGAAAGCCAGACGAGAGTGTGTATTTGCCTCCTCTACTTCACTGCCCACATTCCTGTTTCTCTGCCATTCATCTTTCCCTTATCATAAAGGGGACTCGGCCCCGGGGCCCTCAAGGCTAGTCTCTGTCTGCCTGGCCTTTGATGCCAATCTCCAGAGGAAGCCTTTTTTGTCCCCTTGTCAGACCAGAGGAGACGAATATGAACACATTCCAGTCACAGAGGGTGGGGGTTAAAACACTCACTGCTGGGGACTTCCCAGTTTACACTCCCTGACCGGTCACTCCTGACAAACATTACAGAGGGTGACTACCTGGAAAATCTCACTAAGTGCTCTGCAATTCTTGAATTCCATGTAAGACGCTGCTCTGAACGCCAACATGGTTTTGTGTCATGTTTGCTCGGCTTAATAATTGATCGTAGTCCGAAAGCGGCAGGAACTCTGACTCAGCAGTTCTGCTCCAAACAATGGTCCTGTGTGTCTGCTTAATGGATCAGAGGGCTGCCCGGGTCTCTTGGGTTAAACATGGGAGATGTTATCAATCCTCGGAAGTGAGCGCGCCTCCAGTTTGCTGATACACCCTCTGGTGTGTTTTCCTATGGCTGACTTCAAGTCTAACACACACACAATTATTAAAAAGCTACACTTGTTGTTCCGTTCACCGAGGGAGTTTTGTGTTCAGGGTTACTGAACAACTTCTGGCCTGGTTTTCATGAAACTTGTCGGGAGGTGGGCAAATGAAAAAACGTTAAATGTTTGAACTGCAAAATCAAAGGACTACTACACCATTGGCCTTGTAGCTTCTTGCTATTTAACTGACTTAAATGGAACATATTTTCGAAAGTACCTCTTCATGACCTCATGTAAATACACAAATCTAATCGTGCATAATCTAAACGTTATCATGAGAAAAGGGATTCCTTTCATCTTTAGAAAATGTGAAAAAGGGGACTTATTGGAGGCTTTGCACTCCCATTTTAAAGCCATCACTCGTTCATCTTTTGTCTGAGCATCTTTTCAGTAACTCTGTTAGCCTGTCATGACACTTCTTACATGTGACTGTCAGCAGATAACAGTAAAAATGAATTCCTGGGTGCCCTGTATGTCTCTGTGGTATTTCAGATATCTGCACTTAATCTAAAGTTTGTTCTGAGTGAGGTATGGACATTACAAGTGGTCAGAACATATATGGACTGCTTTCATCGGTGGCTCAGAGGTCGTACAGCATCCTCCTCTGAGGTAATAGGAAGCGCATGCTGCATGAGTTGTTCATGTTCATGTTTATTGAGTTAGCCCTCCACGTGGCCTAAAGAATGACACAGGGTGCAGTGAGGGCTTACAGACCAGTGAATACACACACACACACACACACACACACACACACACACACACACACACACACAAGAAAAGGGCTGAATGTTAAGCACTGCAGTCGTGTTTTGGGTCAGTTAACAGCTGTCAACATCTGCTGTCGTCCTGTTGGATAAATGCAGGTCAGAGAACTGAGCTCTGGGTTGGAGCAGCAACTAAATCCCTCTGTAGGCGTACACTGTGAAGTACTGCTATGTAACGAGGGGTTTCATATTTATATCTGCATTTGTTGGCTTTATTTCTATAGTTTAAGTCGACAAAAGCGAGCATTGTTGACTGGTTTTTAGCTTTACTTTGGAAGGCCAATACTAGCTGCCAGATTTCATTTCTAAATGCTACAACCTAAGTATTGGTAGAACAGAGCACATGGCCACTGATCAATTTTCTATTCAATGACAATTAATACAGTGGTGAATTTGTAATAAGATATTTATGCTAAATTGCACAGTTCAGAAAAGCTTTGCTGCTGCTGATGCTGTGGTTACTGCCAAGTCTATTGACTCAGAGCCTTACTGCCCTAATGTAGCTTCCAGGAAAACTGAGGTTGTGTGTGGTAAAAGACCCGATGATTCATGTCATGTGACATGTGGAAACGGCCTGCTTGTGTACAGTTGGTTTAGTAGTGCTGTGTTGTGAAGGACAAGCCCTGACATGATCCCCACTGTGAAGGATCAGCATGTGGAGCCACATCGACTCTGAATGCTACTGCTTTCTCCTCCATAACATTGATATAAACAGGGAGAGCTAAAGACGAATAACATGTATAGTAGGGCTGCAAGGAAATGCAGAAATCTGATTTGCTCTTTATAGCCTGTGGATGGAAGTAATGAAGTTGCAGTGAATTGTTGATTAAGCTCCCCTTTTTTCTCCATTGTTGGAAGCACTGTTTTTATCCAGAACATTTCCCTAAAGCTCTTCCTCTTCCTCCTCCTCCTCCTCCTCCTCCTCCTCCTCCTCCTCCTCCTCCTCCTCCTCCTCCTCCTCCTCCTCCTCCTCCTCCTCCTCCTCCTCCTCCTCCTCCCCAGCATCCAGCGGGCGGCTCTGGCCGTCTTGGAGCACTACTACTGCGACTTCCCCGTCCACAACCCGGCGCTGCTCTCCGCCTCCAAGTCCCGCGCTGCCAAGCACCTGGCCGGCCTCAAGGTCTACAACGTGGATGGTGAGTTCCCAGCAGCCCTGGCTGAGGGTGAGTGGGACGCTCTTTGATCTTTGCGATGTGTCTTTACCCGTGCTTTGGTTTCTCTCTGTGCTCCTGTGTGGAGGTCTGCTTTTTCTGCTAATGCTACACACATAGATGCTTGTGTCATACTCTTTTTGCTTATATAACTGCTGCAATAATTCACAGTCTCTGGGACAGGTGACCCGTCTAAAGCACATTTCAAGTCACTGCAGGATTTCCATACAGCGCTGGAATGTCTGCCTGGGAGGAAGGAAATAGATCTAAGATATAATTGTTGAAAATATTATAAATCATTTGTAGTGAATGGGCTGCAACATGCAATAAAGCCAGTGTGGTTATGTGATATCCGCGTCATCTCTCCTCTCTGTGAACCTTTCGTAAAGCCTTAAGAGACAAACTGAAGGCCTACCTGTTGGACAGTAAGTTAACGCTGCTACTATCTGAAGCACCTCACTGCAGCCTCACTTTATACCATCAACGCTCCTTCACTCATAGCTCTCCTCTCTGCATGCCACAGGTTGATGAAACTCGTCACAGCAGCTATTGGAATGTAACACAAACCCTCTATATGAAATCATTGCTGTCCCTTAAGTGTGCTCAAGCTTCACTGAAGTGCACTTACTGTTCTTTTTCCTTCTTAAATGTTAGTGGGGGACAGTTGCGGATAAACCCATGGTTACAATGCCATCGTTCTTCTCATTTCTCTCTTGTGTCTCTTCCTCCTTCCTTTTCGCCCTGCAGCAGCTGCTCAGGGACGTTCTTCTCCTCTTTTTTTACTTCCCACTCCGTCTTTCTTTCCTCAGCCGCAGCAGCAGTGTAATAAATATTCCCAACTCAGGGACAGGCAATCATCTTTCCATGATTAAACAGTGTTGAAGCCCTGAGCGCAAAGCGGCCATAACACTCAATTACACTGCTTCCAAATGTGCTCGGGTGATTTCATGATGCCTGACAAGCCATTTGGTTTTCTCAGCTCCATAGTTGGAATTGGAAATGAATCCCTGCAGGATATATGGAAGTGTTTAAGTGCCTTCAACAAAGCAAATCAAACAAGTGAAATAACACACACACATTGTTAGATTTATGCTTTCACAACTAATCTGAAACAGCCATGAGTTATCTATTTTATTGGCTTTTTTAACTGAGTTCAATGTTGATTAATTCCACAGTCAAATGAAATCAGACAGATGTTTTTTAAATGATTAATATTGGCTATTGTATATGTTGTAGCCTCAAATAACAATAACAAATACAACGGAAAAGACTCTAACCATGTGTATTCTTACTCTACTTGAATGTAATGTTCAGTAGAAAGAAACAGGAAATGATGGCACCTTTTGTCATTTTTGCAAGATAAAAATGATTAAATAATGATCATAACAATGGCGATTATTTCACACCTCCATTATTGTCTTTGGGAAATGAATTGTACTTGTTGAGTAATTTGATCAAGCATACTTTTGTATTCTTAGCTGATTCAAGAGACATGGAGAAAGAATGAATATGTTACTTGTCGATTTAATAAATAGAGAATAATATGATGGGAAATGTGTGATCACGCTACCGGAGAGATGATGAAATCAGCATTTAAAGCCTTCCGTGGTGCAACAGTTTCTCAAGTTACCTGCTCCTCACATGGTTTTCAACATTGTAAACCGTACCCATAAATCCCATCTAAGTGCAGTAACAGCGAGGGTGTAAAGACCCCCCCCCCTCTGCCATGAATTATTCTGTTCACTCTCGATCCCCGTTAATAATTCAGCAGCCCTGCCTTCTTTAACATCAGGCGGGGCTCATCAGCAGCCTGTAATTCCGAACATGTAAACTTGTGAAGTTGCCCGAGACACTTCTTCTTTAATTGGCCTCCAGCGCCGTAAAGGGAGTGTTTGCATATCAGTATGTTGGTGTGCTTTTTAGGGTTTCCAATGATCACAGGACGATTAAAATTGACGACTTTGTGTGGCTACTCGCCTCAGCTCCTGGGGATTTTATATTGCCGGTGATAAAGGCAAATGGACCGTGGTTTATGTGCATCCATAATCTACTGCTGCTCTAAAAGCATGTTGCACTTGATGTCATCACCCCAGATATCTTTGTTCCTTTACCTGTGGGGTATGCACACTCTCGGTAAGCCCTCCTGTGCTCTCTGTGTGTCGGGACAGGTCCGGGGAACAACGCAGCAGCAGGCATGGCTCACTCTCAGTCCAGAGCCATGATCGCAGCCGCAGCCCGCCGCAGAGACACCAGCCACAACGAGCTGTACTACGAGGACGCGGAGCACGAGAGGCGCGTCCGCAAGCGCAAAGCACGGTAATAACATCAAGCATAAATGGAGGAATGCTGCAAGGAATCTCAAATGAAAAGCCAGAAAGCTCCTAAAAAATGCATTTAATTTGTTCCACGAGTGTAATCAGAGGTGGGAAGTAGTGGAGTACAAATACTTTGTTACTGAACTTAAGTACATTTTTCTGGTATCGGTACTTTACTCCACTACTTATTTTTCTGACGACTTTTTACTTTTACTTCCTACATGTTGAACTCAAATACCTTTACTTTCTACTTCTTACATGTTGAACCCAAATACCTGTACTTTCTACTTCTTACATGTTGAACCCAAATACCTGTACTTTCTACTTCTTACATGTTGAACTCAAATACCTTTACTTTCTACTTCTTACATGTTGAACCCAAATACCTGTACTTTCTACTTCTTACATGTTGAACCCAAATACCTGTACTTTCTACTTCTTACATGTTGAACTCAAATACCTGTACTTTCTACTTCTTACATGTTGAACCCAAATACCTGTACTTTCTACTTCTTACATGTTGAACCCAAATACCTGTACTTTCTACTTCTTACATGTTGAACCCAAATACCTGTACTTTCTACTTCTTACATGTTGAACACAAATGCTTGTACTTTCTACTTCTTACATGTTGAACCCAAATACCTGTACTTTCTACTTCTTACATGTTGAACCCAAATACCTGTACTTTCTACTTCTTACATGTTGAACCCAAATACCTGTACTTTCTACTTCTTACATGTTGAACACAAATGCTTGTACTTTCTACTTCTTACATGTTGAACCCAAATACCTGTACTTTCTACTTCTTACATGTTGAACTCAAATACCTGTACTTTCTACTTCTCACATGTTGAACACAAATACCTGTACTTTCTACTTCTTACATGTTGAACCCAAATACCTGTACTTTCTACTTCTCACATGTTGAACACAAATACCTGTACTTTCTACTTCTTACATGTTGAACACAAATACCTGTACTTTCTACTTCTCACATGTTGAACACAAATACCTGTACTTTCTACTTCTCACATGTTGAACTCAAATACCTGTACTTTCTACTTCTTACATGTTGAACACAAATACCTGTACTTTCTACTTCTCACCTGTTGAACACAAATACCTGTACTTTCTACTTCTCACATGTTGAACACAAATACCTGTACTTTCTACTTCTTACATGTTGAACTCAAATACCTGTACTTTCTACTTCTCACATGTTGAACACAAATACCTGTACTTTCTACTTCTCACATGTTGAACACAAATACCTGTACTTTCTACTTCTCACATGTTGAACACAAATACCTGTACTTTCTACTTCTCACATGTTGAACACAAATACCTGTACTTTCTACTTCTCACATGTTGAACACAAATACCTGTACTTTCTACTTCTTACATGTTGAACTCAAATACCTGTACTTTCTACTTCTTACATGTTGAACTCAAATACCTGTACTTTCTACTTCTTACATGTTGAACACAAATACCTGTACTTTCTACTTCTTACATGTTGAACTCAAATACCTGTACTTTCTACTTCTCACATGTTGAACTCAAATACCTGTACTTTCTACTTCTTACATGTTGAACACAAATACCTGTACTTTCTACTTCTTACATGTTGAACTCAAATACCTGTACTTTCTACTTCTTACATATTGAACTCAAATACCTGTACTTTCTACTTCTTACATGTTGAACACAAATACCTGTACTTTCTACTTCTTACATGTTGAACTCAAATACCTGTACTTTCTACTTCTTACATATTGAACTCAAATACCTGTACTTTCTACTTCTTACATGTTGAACACAAATACCTGTACTTTCTACTTCTTACATGTTGAACTCAAATACCTGTACTTTCTACTTCTTACATGTTGAACACAAATACCTGTACTTTCTACTTCTTACATGTTGAACTCAAATACCTGTACTTTCTACTTCTTACATGTTGAACACAAATACCTGTACTTTCTACTTCTTACATGTTGAACTCAAATACCTGTACTTTCTACTTCTTACATGTTGAACACAAATACCTGTACTTTCTACTTCTTACATGTTGAACACAAATACCTGTACTTTCTACTTCTTACATGTTGAACTCAAATACCTGTACTTTCTACTTCTTACATGTTGAACACAAATACCTGTACTTTCTACTTCTTACATGTTGAACTCAAATACCTGTACTTTCTACTTCTTACATGTTGAACACAAATACCTGTACTTTCTACTTCTTACATGTTGAACACAAATACCTGTACTTTCTACTTCTTAAAGAAGAGGGACCAATGAAAACGTTGTCATGTTGCCGTTGTTCACTTCTGTTTGCTGTCTCCTCAGACTGGTGGTGGCGGTGGAGGAGGCGTTCACACACATCAAGCGCATGCAGGAGGAGGAGCAGAAGAAGACCCCGGTGGACGTGATGGACTCCCGGGAGGCGGCGCAGGCCATCTTCCCCTCCATGGCCCGCGCCCTGCAGAAGTACCTGAGGACCACCAAGCAGCAGCACTGCCACAGCATGGAGAGCATCCAGCAGCACCTGGCCTTCTGCATCACCAACAACATGACGCCCAAGGTCACACCTCTGACCTCAAGACATCACACATACTTTAGCACAGGGGTGTCCAAACTACGGACCAGGGGCCAAATGCGGCCCGTTGTCCAATTGATTTTGCTAAATTATAACTATACAATAATATATATATAGTATACAATAAACCTCAGATCGGGTGAGTGGCCCAGTCCTTTGTGTATTTTTCTGTATGCGGCCCTCAGTGAAAAAGGTTTGGACACCCCTGCTTTAGCATAAAAAAATGATTTAGGGTGTATATCTTTTTTTAAATAGATTACCGTTGAATATAAAGTAAAGTGTGTTTATGTCCCTTCCCCCCCCAGGCGTTCCTGGAGAGCTACCTGAGCGCGGGCCCCACCCTGCAGTACAGCCGGAGCCACTGGTTGGCCCGTCAGTGGACCCTGATCAGCGACGCCTCGGTCACCAGCGGCCTATCGGACGGCTGCGTCTTCCAGCTGAAGTGTGTGGACTTCAGCCTGGTCGTGACCACCAAGAAGATCCCGTACATCCAGATGTCGGAGGAGTACATCGACCCCAAGTCACACAAGTTTGTCCTGCGGCTACAGTCGGAAACCTCCGTGTAGCTCTCCAAACGCTCTCTTTTTTTATTCCTCACCCTGTCTCGGATGTTTTCACTTTGGGTTTGCAGTTTTTATTTTTTATATATTACATATGAATATATATTACACTCATGTTTGAATATATTGATCTTTATATGTTTGATTTGGACGAAATCAAAAGATGGCGGTTTGACTCGGACGCCTCGGACACGGTTACGGGTGTATCTGTGTGTGCACGTGTGTCATGTTGTGTCAACACAATCACTCCTTCCTTTTGCTGGAGAGAAAACCACTAAGGACGTCGATTTTATGACTTGTATTTAAATATTTGAAACATGGAAACACAAGACGAAGATGGTGCCTGTGTTGAAGAATTTGTACCCTCTTTTTGGACGCATCCATCTGGCGTAAAAACTTAAATCAGACTTTGTATCAAGTGCACATTTATGTTGGTTTCTAAATGAAAAGACAGAAAGGATGATCGCAGCCTGCTCAAAGAGGACGTCAGACTGTTTTCCTCATCACTACCCCTACACCTGAAGAGCTCCATACACTTGGGTGCTTATTCTCTGATCTTCTCCAGGTGCAGTGGAGCAACATGAGGGATATTTCCACTCCAGTTGGGAACAACACACACATGTTAAACAACGATGCGGATCATGAGAGACGCTCATGGACGCATGCCCAAAAACATTTGCCCTGCCTCATCGGTTCACTAACCTTCTCCGGACGCGATGGAAGGGGAAAGCAGAGACAGGAATAACCATGTCACAAAAAAAAGTACTACTGAATACTCCCTGTGCAGGTTACTGAAGTTTAAATACTGTATATTCTCATATAAAAGGCCACATTTGATTATCCTTGACTGCTCCCTGATCTAAACACTGCAGCTCGCATAGTCAATCTAGTATAATGAGTATTTCCACTGAACTGCATATATCAGTACAACAGTCAGGTCATGTTGTTGACATACAATATTGTTTTTATACTTTCGTACTCCTGCTCAATGTCAAACTACCGTCAACATTTCCTGACGTTTTTCACACTAAAAGCCCAGCTAAATGTGGTAAGCAAAGGTGTAACAAGTACAACTTTAAGGTACTTGTACTTTACTGACGTTGTTTTTTAGTTTAGTGTGAAATATTGTACTTTTATTCTGATTTGCATTTCAATCATTTACATTTAAACGTAATTTATTTGACTATTTGTCGGGCAAATCACTTTGGTTTATTGTGACGGAATTTCCAATTTCTTCACAATTTTTAACCAAAGATATAGTTTGCTTAATCCGTAATGATTATAATCATAAATTAATTAATATAATAATTAATAATGATAATAGTTTAAACAGTCACAGGAAACCTTTCTGTAATGCATTTGTATAGTTATACTTACATACTTTTTAAAGGTAACATTTTCAAAACAGGACTTTGACTTTTCACTGTGTGGTATTTATAATTGGAATAAAGTATAGTACCTTCTCTACAACTACTGGTTAGCGCTCGACTGTAACAGCCAATTCATTTGGAAATTCTGGAGGAATGTGACAAGACCCTCTGCAGTGCTGTGGAAATACACATTACACTGAATTTGCCAACCCAACAGGGCTAAATAAGGGCCAATATTTGAGAATGTACAGTATTTAAAGTATGATTTTATCTTTCAGGGCTCACACAGTTCACTTGTATGACTATACATGCAGTATGAGATGACAAAGAGTGTGTGAAGGGCGGAACCTCCTTTTAACTAGTCTGTCTGGTTTTCTTTTACTACCTTGTCTCACCTCTTACACAGTTTCCAGATCTTTCTTTCACCTGATTAAGCCAGAAGAATGCAGTTCAATTAAGCTAAAGGCACAACAATGAACTGATCAGGCATATTAACTTAAGTATTAAAAGAGAACTTCTAGAAGAAAAGTGAGTGATTATCTTCTGTCTGAGAGCAGGGTTGTCCAGTGCTGCCCTCTGGCTGGGAAACCTGATATTTTTGGTGTGTGTGCCTGGACGAAGCACTGCTCATTTTAGCAAACTTTTCCACTATACACTTCTAACTTTTAAACCACCTTGGGAGAACTTTAAAAAAACACACTTTTGCTGTTTTGAAAGGTCACATTTTGTACCGGCAGAGGAACTTTGTACGAACCCAATGTGACTGTGCCTCCTGTTTTTACACTGTATCTATTTATGTAAACATGCATGTGTGTCTGAATGTATATAGATGCCATTCCAGTTCACACGACAACCCCCCCCCCCCCCCCCTACATCTCCACCATGTGTCGCGCTGTTGCCAGGTTACAGTGCTCTGTTGTGGGGACGGATACATGATGATGCTTTGGCGTTTGCAATGTAAGACATGGTTCAGTTTCACAGCATTAGCATTTGTAAAAACAATAAACATTTTTATGAACATTTGTAACATTGGACTTTTGATATCCCTACTTTTATTGAGTTGTTATCTATATACCATTTAACCCCTTCAACCATACATATAATCCACTTGAAATATCTTGACATGTAACATTTTCTATTAATTTATCAATTCTTTTTGGGGATTTGTTTTGCCATCACTTGTATTTGCAACCAAACTGTAAGATTGCAGTCCTTTTGAATCCAAATTAAGAGGTATTTTACATTATTTTGTCAATTTAAGGTGGTTTTACCTCTTTAAAACCTCTTAAAATTACACTTTCATATCGAGATACAAAGAACAACAGACTATTGTGACTATGGATAAAGCGCATTATAGGCTCATTATAAATCAAAGTTGACTGCTGATCATTTGATATTTCACCCTAAAATCTATCTTCATTGCATTTGTTTGCCATTGTAATTTCAGATGTGTTTCATGACATGTCTCTCTATTCTCTCAGCCTCTCCATGTGCACTAGTTCCCCCCCCCCCCCCCCCCCCCCCCCCCCTCGGCTACTGGCCTGCTAACACCCGCTCTGTCGCTGCCCATTAAGCCTCTGCTCCTGCTGTGTGACATGTTGGAGCAAAATTGTCTTTTTTGGCCTTGATTTGGCGGCTTTTTGTTGTCACGAAGCTCAACGGTAATTGGCTTGCCATCAGCCTGTCAGAGAGCGTCGCAGCTGGGCCTTGTGGGCAAATGAATGTGGGTGTCCGGCGCTGGAAACAAACAACCTCGTACCCCTGAGAGCGGGAGCCGCCTGTCGGAACTCATCTGTCCCCGGCGTAATCCTCCCGTACCCTGCTCTGTCCGAGGAGCACATGTGGAGAGAGGGAAATGAAGGACATTTGCATCTTAATGGGATGTTGTCCTTCCCCTTCATTCCTCCCTCTCTATCTGCTTGGTAATGACTCGTGTGCAGAGTGAGAGTCTTGAACAGAAACCTTAACACCCTAAGCTGTTAAACCCTCACACCCTCTTTGTGTTGCTGTCATCGCAGCACGGATGTTTTTGTGTGTGAGACTTCAATCCTCCTGCCTCCCTTTTTGTCATGTTAAACACCAGCACACTTGACATCAACAGGATTATGTAAACCCCAGAACATCCTGACACTGTCTGCTTCCTTTTCCTCAGGAGAGAGTGTGTCACGTCTCCTTGCCTCGGGTCACGTTTAACACTTGGATGTTCTTATCTCAAATCTGGCTGCATGGATTATGTGTAAATCCCACAGTATGACACACGCATCCTGTTTACACACCTCCGGGGGAATAATCATTCATGCATGGCCCTGTATTATTAATTCATGGTATGTCCGCTCCTTATGCAGTTTGTCGGGCATTTCACCTCGTCTCCCCCAGCCCCACTGCCGGGGTCCCTTCTCCCATTAGGAGGCATAATGATGCTGAATTATTCACTGCTGTGTGAATAATTCAAGGCGAAAAACGCTCATTGGTTGAGGGAGAAAATGTCAATCTGCTGTCTTTAGCATCAGTCTGGACCCTGTTATTGAGCGAGGGAACTGTGTGTTCTCACACACCGTAAAACAGCAGAGGTGGTTCAAATGAAAACACTAGCAGGTTGTCGGAATATACTTTTATTCGGTTCTGAATTCATCACAAGAAAACAGTTCAAGTTATTTTCTAATTAGAAGAACAAAACACTTTTGGTATATTATCTTCACGTAGATAGACACAATCCCTCTTATCTTATCTTATCTCAACCTTATGATCATTTTTGATATTAACATATGTGTCAACAGATCTCACAAAGACTTATCTGACTGAAAGAATCTCAGTCTTAAGGAGCATTTTTTAGCTCTTTGTTTTCATGGCCTGCATTTTTATTAAACCATACATCCTTTTTATTTTACTCAAACAATTAGATAAAGAAATACTTTCTCAGTAATGTGGGTGTTGCCAGTTTTGACCCAGGTCTGACCTGGCTGGACACCCACCCTCAACAGTGAGTTAGTCATCTCCGTCCTCTTCCTCCTCCGGGTCCTGACTTTCGGAGCTGTCCTCTGGGATGTACCCTTCAGGGTCCTCCTGGTCGTCCATAGACTCATCGTCGTCCTCCGTGTTCACCCTCCCTGACAGGACGTCCTCTATCCAGTCCTCCAGCTCCTCAGGGGAGGGCAGGTCTTCATCGTTGGACATGTCCAGCCACACGCTGTCCGCCTGGAACACAGAAAGTTAAGGTAAGAGTTCATTCTCTACGGTAACGACGTGTAAGAGTTCACTCATCATTACTTACATCTGTGACGTTGACCACACCAATCTGAGGTCGGAACAGGTCCAACTTGAAGGTTTTTTCCCAATACGTGGTCAGCTGAAGACAAACAAAGTTAGGTATCCGTGACAAAAGTTTTGATACTCTTAGAAATGCTAAGCTAATAATGAGACAGACCAGAGGGAAGTCATCTGGGTCGATCCAGACGATGCTGAGCTCTGGGTTGTTGGTGTTGTCTCTGGCCACGTCTTTCAGGATCTCCAGAAACTCATAGCCATCTGAGGAGGACAGAACAGAACCTGAGCTTTGGGTACTACAACTTAAAAGGGAAACAAGGGCAAAATGAGAAGGCTGAAACCTGGATCTTCCTCCTCAGCAAACGCAACAATATGTATGCCGTCCATGTCATCCTCCTAGGAATGGAAAAACATTAGTATTCACCTTAAAACAATTATTTTCAATCATTTTAGTTGCGAACTCTTGTCAGGACTCACCCATGTTTCAAACATGTTCTCTGCCCGGAGCTTCCTCAAAGTAGCCCTGTAAAAGAGCATATTTTCATAAAATGCTTGAACAATATTGAAAAAATCCTCGAAAAATACAACAAACCTTCGGTGCTGGTTGACAAAATCAACAATGTCCATCTCTGACAGAGGCCGGCCCGGCAGGATGGCCGGCTCCTCCATGAAGGGCTCGTAGAAATTCACCTCGTTCATCTTCAGGGAGAGATGTTTGGCCACCTGAAACACACAACATGCCAGGGTTTCATAATCAATCATGTCTACATTCTGCTATATGAACATTCACAACATTCATGTTGTGCAGCGAAACTTACAGATTTACTAAATGTTGCGAAGAACTTGATGTAAGGTTGAAATCGCTCTGAGGCCTCCTGAAAAGCTTTGTAGTCTGAGGAAAAGTAGACAGAGAGAGAGATGAGGAACCGGCAGAAGGGCAGACAAATGCTTTGTTGACATCCTGCCCACATCCCAACCATAATGTACAGTATGTGATCAGGAAGGCGAGCAGTGACACACTCGCTTCATTTAATTTGATGATTCGACTGTATTCACCAGCAAGTAAAACGTCTCCCCAATACAGTTGTATGCGCTTATAACTCGCTCCTGGCTCTGCTCCATGCAAGGTCACAACCAAGGACCAACCTATAACTGGATATCGGACCAGATAGCATCTTCCCTGTCTCACTTTTTTTAGAGGAACTATAATTGCAGTTTGACCTGTTAGACAGAGAACTAGAAGCTATTTAAAGGGGACTGAGAGTCTGGAATCAGGTTTCCCTTTCGCATGGTGTATAACTCCATTAGCCTCTGAAACCCATCAGGGACTGTGAGGCAAGTTAATGGGACAGAGAAGAGGTGTACATGGATTTATTTCCTGTGTTTCTTAACACTAACATGAATCTTCTCCCTTGAAATATCCAATGAGGCGGATGTCTTCCTCCATCCTCTCGAAGGCTCGCAGCTCCATGGCGTTATTGAGCATTTCTACTGGGTCCTCCAGCACCTTGGGGGCAGTAAAAAAAAAACAGGTCAGTGATTTTGACTTCAAATCTTTGAGATAGCAGTTAACGACCACTCCCAAGATGCATCTGTGAACATTTAAGTGTGGGAAAACCCTCCTAATTTGCAACTAGTTTCCCCAAAATATAAAATCATTATTGGAACTCATGTGAAAATGTCACAGATTATGACTCTGATAAGAGATACCTTTGACATGACATGAAAGCTACTCTTCTCTTGCTAACTTCAGCATTCCCTTTCTCAATTGATTCCAATATTACACATTTAAAACATATCAGGTTAAGATTTCCACTCA